CCCCAGATACCCAGAGGAACCTCTCTCTGGGTCCGGGCTGAAGGATGATGGCAGGGTCTGGAGCAGAAGAGGGATGCTCTCTTCCCCCCTGGGCTGCTTATGGGATGCAGAGGGGGGGCGGTGGAGGTACGGGTTCTCATTGTTGGGGTGCAGTTCCACCTTGATCACTCTGGGAGGGGGAGCCTGGGCACTTCGGGGAGGTTTGGGGGGCGTCTCGACGCTGTGTGGGTGACCCTGGGCCTGAGTTAGGGCATCCTCTCTGCCCTGGGGTGGGGGGCAACTCTGGATCTTGTTCTCTTGGGCCCAGCTGAGATAGTTTAGGGGAGAGATGGTGGGAGAGTGTGCCCCCTGTAGTAGGGGCTGTGTAGCAGTTGGAGTGGCACCCTCTTCCTCTTTGTAATCTTCCTGTTTTGGGGTCTGTTTCTCCTCCTCCGGTCTCTCTCTCTCTTTATTCGGGCTGCCTTGGTCTTTCTCTGGGCAGGGGTGCTTCTCATCCTCTTCCTCCTCTTCCTTGCTGGGAAGATCTTCTTCCTTATTTCCTCCACTAGGAGAGACTTCCTCTTTGTTTCCTATACTGGGTGGGTCCTCTTCCTTCTCATGGAACTCCAGAAAGCTCTTGGTCCTCCGACAGAATGGGGGCGGGGCCTGTGAGTTGTCGTTCTCCCCCTCCATCCAATCAGAGCTGTGTATGGGGGTGATGATGTCATCCTGCTCTTTGACCTCTGTGGTGGTTTTACTCTGCTCCTGTTGCTGGGTCTCGGCCTTCTTCTGCAGGTTGGCACCGTTCTTTGCCAGCTTGGGGTTGGTGGAGAATAATGAGGAAGAGGAGGAGGAGTAGAGAGCAGAGGATGAAGAGGACTTGGTGGGAAGGCGTCTGCCGCTGGTGGGGGGCTGGTTTCGGGCCTGAGGGGCGAGGGTTGTCGCTCAGTCCCATGGCGCTATGCACACTGGTCATGGCGTATCTATGGCGACTCTTGGGTAAAGTGGCGGAACTCCCCATTTCCATGGCGGTAGGGGACTCCTTTATGACATCATGGCCCAGGAGTTGGTTGTAGGAGGAGCGCAGGCTGAGGGAGGTGGGAGGGGCGGCAGGGGGACTGCTGCGATTGGCCAAGCCGACAGAAGAAGGGGAGGAGCCACTGCGGGAGAGTGGGGGGGTGTGGACGGACATCATGAGTGACGAGAGGTCAAGAGGTCAACTGGAGAGGGAATCCCTTCAAACCTAGAGAGAAGAGAGGATAAAGGGCTCACTAGGAGTACAACACACACACACTCTTTTTACGCCACTTCGATAAAATCATTTTCGTAGCAGGTTAGGAGACCATTTTCGCTAACCCTAAACCTAACCCTAACCCTTTTCCTGACCTTAACCTCAGCCTCCTAACCTGCTACGAAAAAGAGTGTTTCCCACACACACACACTAGCTCCAAGCTCTCGTAGGAATTCAACATCTGATACTGGTGACGTCGCCCATTATCCACCACAGTACTTGAAGGAAACTTAGCCTGAGTCACGTCTTCTCCATGTGTGATGAGTTAGGAGGATCACAGGACTGAGTTAGAGGTATAAGGAGTAAAACACAAGACAAGGCAGCATATGACTTAGCCAGTCTAAATGGCTCCATAAAGTCCTACAGACCATCAGGCCCACTGGCATTGATCTGTTGCCATGGCACTAACACAGAATTAAAAGCTTCGACTGTTCAACATTCTGGCAACCCATCGACCAATAGCGAAGGGTTTTATTGACGCACTCTGCCATGTGTTTTGTAACTGTGCCCCAATACAGTAACACCCTCGGTCTCCCATCTTTCTCATCTGGGGAATATGTCAGTTTAAAACACAGTGCCAAACCTATAACCTGGGTTCTATTTTCTGGACATGCTTGGCAATCATGAGGCTTAGCGCTGTAAATGTATTCATCCACAATCAATGCACCATGCCAAGGCTAATGCTGTTGGAAGGTGTACCTATGCTAGGTCAGGATGCTGACATGCTGCAGAGCAGATCCTAGTCTCTAGCTGACCCTTTTATCTCCCTGGTGCTTAGCTCTGTGTTAGTAATGCCAGATGGACACAGACAAAGAAAAAGAGAGAGAGGGACTGGAGAGTATCATTGTCAATTCAGATGCCATCAGGAAGAGACAAGGTTTTGAGTTTAGGGCTGTCAGTGGTTGGTTTTATTATACTCTGTTCTTCAATTCAATCATACCCCTCTCCAACACACACACACACACACACACACACACACACACACACACACACACACAGGTAAACAAACAAAAAGATGGAAAACATGGGCACAGCAGATTTGAAAACAAGATAAGCCCTTGGAAAAAGCAAGAGAGGTCATTTTAAGACAAAACATATCCACACAATGCACTTTTTCATGAGGGCCCCTCATCCCTTCTCTGGGTGGTGTTTTGGTGTCAGAGAGCACTCAAGAATTCTAACCTGTAGAGCTTCTGTAACTCTTCTCTCTCTCCTTCTCCCTCTTTCCCCCTCTTTCAGAGATGACACACAAATAATGTCAACAAGGTCAATCAGTAGACTAGACATACTGTAGACTACACTTTTACCAGATACACTACATGACCAAAAGTATGTGGACACCTGCTCGTCGAACATCTCATTCCAAAATCATGGGCATTAATATGGAGTTGGTCCCCTCTTTCATGCTACAACAACCTCCACTCTTATGGGAAGGCTTTCCACTAGATGTTGGAACACTGCTGTGAGGACTTCCTTCCATTCAGCCACAAGAGCATTAGTGAGGTCAGCACTGATGTTGGGTGATTAGGCCTGGCTCACAGTCAGCGTTCCAATTCATCCCAAAGGTGTTTGATGGAGTTGAGGTCAGGGCTCTGTGCAGGCCAGTCAAGTTCTTCCACACCGATCTCGACAAACCATTTCTATATGGACCTCTCTTTGTGCACGGGGGCATTGTCATGCTGAAACGAGGGCCTTCCCCAAACTGTTGCCACAAAGTTGGAAGCACACAATCGGCTAGAATGTAATTGTATGCTGTAGCGTTAAGATTTCCCTTCAATGGAACTAACGGGCCTAGCCCGAACCATGAAAAACAGCCCCAGACCATTATTCCTCCTCCAGCAAACTTTACAGATACCACTATGCATTCGGGCAGGTAGCGTTCTCCTGGCATCCGCCAAACCCAGATTTGTCCATCGGACTGCCAGATGGTGAAGCGTGATTCATCACTCCAGTGAACGCGTTTCCACTGCTCCAGAGTCCAATGTCGGTGAGCTTTACACCACTCCAGCCGACGCTTGACTTTGTGCATGGTGATCTTAGGCTTGTGTGCGGCTGCTCGACAAACAGTTATTGTGCTGACGTTGCTTCCAGAGGCAGTTTGGAACTCAGTAGTGAGTGTTGCAACTGAGGACAGACAATTTTTACGCGCTATGCGCTTCAGCACTTGCCGTTCTGTGAGCTTGTGTGGCTACCACTTCGCGGCTGAGCCGTTGTTGCTCCTAGACGTTTCCACTTCACAATAACAACACTTACAGTTGACCAGGGCAGCTCTAGCAGGCCAGAATTTGACGAACTGACTTGTTGGAAAGGTGGCATCCTATGACGGTGCCACGTTGAAAGTCACTGAGCTCTTCAGTAAGGCCATTCTACTGCGAATGTTTGTCTATGGAGATTGCATGGCGGTGTGCTCGATTTCATACACCTGTCAGCAACGGCTGTGGCTGAAATAGCCGAATCCATTAATTTGATGGGGTGTCCGCATACTTTTGTATATATAGTGTATTTTACACAAAACATGTCCTCATAAGGACATTAAGTCTCTCTCTGTGAAGTTACATTATACCTGCAGCTACTGATTTCAGGACAGTTTTTGACATTTCTCTCACTATGCAATCTTCCCACTATTTCCTTAGTACTGATGTAAGCAGAACTGCTGTGAACAGCATAAATACCCTGGCCTGGGCAAAACACCAAAACTGACAAGGAAGCAGTTGATAAGGTAACAACTGTGCAATATGCAAATACTCAAATGCCTGCTTTCTTTGCATACATCTCAGAGATGGAGAGAGCTGCTAGATCCATATTGAGATAGTGTGTTTTTCCTGATGCTGCAAGTCTCAATTAGCAGAATGGCACGAAACAAATAGGGGAGCGATATATGTTATTAGAGAGAGAGGACAATGACACAGCAGTTTTCAGCAGGGACATTGAGTTCACATCGCCACTCAGCTCAGCTGTTGTCTTACAACACACACATCTTTGTGTTCCCATCACTGTAGGTCATTCATGAGACCTTGCCAAACATGGTACTACCACCCATATTACAGGAAGTCAACTAACTGTGTCCTTTTAAACAGCTGAGAAATGTTTACAAGATTCAGGGGCGGTTTCCCGGACACAGATTAAGTTTAGTCCTGGACTAGGCTTAATCTGTGTCTGTGAAACCAGCCCTCAAAGTGTTACTGTAGGATTAATAAAGATCTGGAGTTGAGAGAATAACCAATCATTCACTCCACTGGAGGTGATACAGATTGGTATCCTCTATATATTTACATACTGGTGAGCCACAGCTGTCAGAGCAGCCCTTATGACTCAAGCAGGTAACAGGTTGGTTCAGTAGGTGAGTTTTCACAGCTTGATCACAGTGTGATTGAAGAGCACACATAACACATAACACATCTCAATAGAAATAAGAAAGAGAGTTGTGTTGTGTTATGTCTTTCACACACTGTGATGTACAGATGCTGTAGCATCAATATGAATATTTAACATAGTCACCTCAAACACTGTCTTGATAGATCTGTACTGTAGCCTATATTACTGAAACAGGCCTGGGCCTACTCCAGTTAAGAAATATTAAGAAAGAAAATACTTTAATTTGTGTAGGCCTTGAAGGTAGGCCTTAGTATTTTTTTAAAGGTGTTGTAAGCTAATAATCGGATTGTTACATCATAATAAAGGACACATATGCCTTACACATGCCACCAACATAACGCTTCAACTACTAGGCTATAGAACCTTCTAACTTATAACCATGTCAAGGAGATGTCACTAAACGGGTGGAGTACGTTTGCATCCCGTTCTCGTGCCTTTTAGGATACAGCAGTCTACATTTCTATCCTTACCATCATCCGTGCAGCCTCACCGATTTAAATATAAATCAAGCAGGAACGTCCTATATTGCAGAAGGATCGCCAATCTGTTGTCAATTCCGGAAACAAGCTAGAAAGGCAGTATCAATAACAGACGCAGTAAATCTTCTGTTGTCTCTCTCCCACCCAAGATTCGCCTCATCACATCACCGCACTGGAAGGCGAACGGCGCAACGCACCCACAACCACAACATTTTATTTACATTAATTCACTCACCGCGTTTGGCAATCGTGCCTCTATGCAACCGTTTAAACGACGACACTGATATAGGCCAGAGAAATTACGCCCACTTTTTAAGCGCGAGTCCTCCGGTATCAGATCACATCACTTTCTCTCCGGTCTCCTCTCGTGCTGGTACCTAGGCTACGCTACAGCTAGTCTCTCTCTCTGCGCCACTAACTCCCAAATCGTCGCGTCGCTCTGGAGCTCACAGGACCAATCAGAGCGCTGGACGCTGGACGCTGTGTGAGCAGAGCTATTCGGAAGAGAGACGCAGAGCCAGAGGACCATCATGAAACTAATATTTGATGTTTATAGTGTTATTTAACTAATGTAATGAAAAACTCGAAATGTACCGACTTTGCCTAGAGTAGGCTACCACTTTGGCTTCTATAGAAAAAGTAGTTGATTGAGAAGTGATTGTGTATAATTTTTTAGCCAGAGCCAGCCCATCAAGAGTGATCAGCTTCCAATAAGAAATGTATAATCTGGAATAAGAAACTACAGGACCATCAACTGTTGCAGTGCCACAGGTTTTTGTTTAACTCAGCAGACACTCTCCTACCCTAGGCACCGTGCTTCTACATCTGCATTGCTTGCTGTTTGGGGTTTTAGGCTGGGTTTCTGTATAAACTGCTGATGTAAAAAGGGCTTTATAAACACATTTGATTTAATACCCTCAGTGTAATGACAGAGATTATGTATTTAATAGTTTAGTTTCAAGTTTTAATTTCATGTGCACAAGTACAGTAAAATGCCTTTCTTGCAAGCTCCAAACCCAACAATGAAGAAATCAATATCAATGTAGCACTAAAAATAACATAAGGGGGAACAAAAACACAAGAAAAAATTAAATAAGAACATGAGAAAGTAAGAAGCTATATACAGGGTCAGTTCCAATACCATATTTAAAATGTGCAGGGATACTGGAGTGATAGAGGTAGATACAGAAGAGTGCTACAGGGTGGTTGTCATTGTGGCATGACGCCTTAAGAGTTCTTGGGAACAGGAATAATGGTGGTCATCTTAAGACATAATGGGGTTTACAGACTGGGACAAGGAGATATTGACAATTACCGTGAACATGCCTGCCAGCTGATCTGTGCATGCTCCGATTAGGCATCCTGGAATACCGTCTGGCCCTGCAGCCTCGGAGAGCGAGATCACCCAGTCCTCTGGGTCGATGGGGGCCCTCACGCACGGTACGTTATTGTCTAAGTTTGTCTGGAAGAGAGGCATTGTTGGGCAGATTACAGCTGGGTCTTCCTTTGTAATCTGTAATGGAATGTAGCCCCTGCCACATGCAGCAGGCATCAAAGCCTGTGTAGTATGATTCCACCTTATTCCTAAATGATCATTTTGCACGTCTGATGACTGCGCGGAGGTCATAGCGGGACTTCCTGTACTTGTTCCTGTCCTCAGCTGTAACCTCAGGGTTATCTGCGACAGAGCTTACTATAGGTTGACAATGTAGTTTCACAAATACTTAATTACATTTTCTGCATATCTCAGTGACACACAGGCTGGGTTGTATAAAATAGCTTTTTATTTTTATTGGTGTTAAAGACACCTTGTGCGTTCAGCAAGAGTAGTGTTCCTAAAGCATGAGAAAATACAACATACAGTATTTATGGATAAAAACACATACATGCACATCATACACAGCCTCAATGTAAAGCCCAGGCACCCTTAGAGAGTATCTTTATGTTTTGCATCATTGAACATGGTTGGATAGTTCAAGCCCTGATAATAATGGCAACATTGTTGGTAGTTTATGATAAACTTACTCTGAAAATGACAAAAATAAAATAATTTTCATTCACACTCTTTTAGCCTAACTAAATGCCATGTATAGACAGTATTTTAAACAGGGTCAAGTAAACACCAGAGACACTGTACTTACAGTGGCATAGCAGGCTAAGGCACACATTACACTAAGTGGCCAGTTCATTAGGTACCCCACCCCATTCACGGAAATGGTTCGTTCCTACAGCGAGTAATGTGGCTTGCTATATAAAGCAGACAGACAGGCATCGATGCATTCAGTTACTGTTCGATTGAACGTAAGAACGGCCAAAACGAGTGACCTAAGCGACTTTGAGCGTCGTATGATCGTCGGTGCCAGGCGTGCTGGTTCCAGTATCTCAGAAATTGGCGGCCTCCTTGCCTTTTCACGCACGACGGTGTCTAGGGTTTACAGAGAATGGTGGGACAAACAAAACATCCAGTCTGCGGCAGTCCTGTGGGGAAAACAGCTCATTGATGGAGGTCGAAGGAGAATGGCAAGAATCGTGCAAGCTAACAGGCGTGCAAGCGAACACTCCTATCAGCTAAAAACAAGAAGAAGTGGCTCCAGTGGATCACCAACACTGGACAATTGAGGAGTGGAAAAACTTTGCCTGGTCCGACGAATCCCAGTTCCTGTTGCATCATGCTGATGTCAGAGTCAGGATTTAGCGTAAGCAGCATGAGTCCATGGCCCCATCCTGCCTGGTCTCAATGGTACAGGCTGGTGGCGGTGGTGTAATGTTTTCCTGGCACACGTTAGGTCCCTTGATACCAATTGAGCAACATTTCCATGCCCCAAAGAATTCAGGCTATTCTGGAGGCAAAGGGGGGTCCGACCCGGTACTAGATGGGTGTACCTAAGAAACTGGCCCGAGTAAATCTCAATACCATCTTTCTTCCCATAGGGCAGTTTATTGTGCAACAACTGCCCAAGAATGTGCCATGAGAGCATTACGTTGGAAAATTACTACTAAAGGTATTTTTCAGGAAAAGCCAACAGGTAAAGCCATACCACATATTTGACATGCATGTCTTTCAGACATGTATTGCCATCTCCCATACTTACACACACATTCCTCAACACATTGACTTACAGTCAAACACACACACACACAAATCCAGTTATAAGTGCTGATAGTGAGGCAGTAACCTTAGTGAGACACAACCAAGTGTTTAAACATATGACCACGCTATCCTTTTCATCCTTATCCAATCAGAACTACATTCGTAAGTCATGATTGTGGGCGCTAACTATCCCACTCCTATAGTCCACCTCACGGCGTTCCCTTCAGAGCTGGGGGGGTGGAGGTGGAGGGGGAGGAAGGACAGGGTGGGAGGGGGACCCATGCTCCCTGTGCTCCAGGAGTGTGGGAGGGGAAGGGTGGGGCGACTGGAGGGAGGGACAGGGGAGGCGAGGGTGGAGAGCGGTTTCCGCAGATGGTCCACTACGGAGAAACACGGAGAAGAACGGATAGAGCGCAGGACGGCTTCTTCTAGAGGGAGAGAGAGGGAGATGATATCATTACATGATTGTATTTCATTGAGATTTGTGTAAATAATACGTTTTAGGGCAAATAGGCTAAGTGCAAATCTGAATTGAGTGTATCCTTACCCTCCACTCCATACGGGGGCGTCAGTAAGGTCTTGGCCTGGCTGTTTCCTGCCTGGGCAGCCCGCTGATAGAACCCTACTGCTGTTCTGAAACACTGAGGCACCCCAAACCCACTCTCATAACACTGGCCCAGGAACAGCAGGGCCTCACTGTCCTACACATACAGAGAGAAACACACATCAGCATCACATTACACTGAACTGAGAACAGGTTATGATGGATGAGTGGGCTATAATGACAGTTGTAGTGTTTAAGTGTAGAGGATGTCACTCACTCCGCTCTCTGCTGCCATCTTCAGGTAGTGCACCGACTTACGGCCATCTCTGACTGGCTCCTGTGAGAACAGGGAACCCAGATACACTTGGGCCTGAGAGAGTGTGGAACGGGAGAGACAGGAACAGAAATAGACGACTTAAAATCATTGACTTTCAATGTCGTCTTTTAGGCCAAGTCACACAATCATTATACACACTTCCTTCTCACTCACCTCTCTCAGTCCAGCTGAGGCAGCTTGTTGCAGCAGGCTGATGGCTGTGTCCAGGTCCTGCCGTGTGCTCTGCTGCCCTCTGCTGCTGAGGAGGAGTTTGGCACAGCGGTACTGAGCCTGACTGTGACCCCCAGACGCTGCCTGGCCGTAGAAGTGAAGAGCCTGGAGAGGGAACACGACGAGTGGGGTCATGAGTTAGAAATGGGACGGGGAATTACTAATATCACCAATGTTAAAAGTACAGATTTGGACTGTGTGTGTACAATTGATTATGTGAGTTTGCAAGTGTTTCTTACCTTCTCCAAGTCTTTGCTTACGCCCCTGCCTTTCTCGTAGCAGACTCCGGTGTTGAACTGGGCCTTGCAGTAACCCCGTTTGGCTGAGGCCAGGAAACAGGAGAAGGCTGCATCATAGTCCCCAGTCTGAGCACTCTCCAGACCAATGATGTTGAGGACTACAGGAACACTGGAGTCGGCCACCTGTTGGAGGTTCTGGGCTGCCCCCGCTAGGGCATCCTAAGGAACACAGGGTTTAAGGATCAGAGGTCATGAACAGGAGGCCGCTTCACAATCAGACAGGAGTTAAACAGAGAATCAGCCTAAAAACATACCTGCTCATTCTGCTGCGGAGGCTGTTCTCTCTTTCTGGCTCTGTGTTTGTCTTCAGGATGGGAGGACTTTGAGAAGGATGTCTCCTCTGTAACATGGGAAGATTCAAGAACACAACATATGAATGCGTTTAGGCCTGTGTTTGTAAATCAAGAAATATGGTAGGCATGGATATATAAAGAGCATGATTATACGAGTACAATTTCATTGACTCATACGATAAATATTGTTACCCTGACTAAACACTGTTAGACTGTAAAGGGTGGCAGGTAGCCTAGCGGCTATAGGAGAGCCAGCAACCGGCGGGTTGCCAGTTCAAATCCCGGGTCCGACAGGAAAAATCTGTCGGGAAGTGAGCTGGCAACCAGAGGGTTGCTGGTATTAAATTGTAGATGCCATTTAGCAAGGCACTTAACCCCCCCCCCACAACAACAGCTCCCCGCACCTCTCCAAAACCTGTATGGTGTGTCGTTCGGAGGGATTGGGTTAAAAGCGTCAAATAGTCACATTTTAGTTGGACCTTGTTTGCAATTGGCCAACAAAGTGATCGTAATCTCTTAAAAAGGTCGAATGTGAGATTGACCTCTTCCAGAGGAGTCGTGATGGTCAGAGAGGAAACCGTCAGCGATCACATCTCCATGGAGCTGGCCAGGGCTACTGAAGCTGTTACTACTGCTGCTGCTGCTGTGTTCCTGGCCCTGCTGTCTCTGTGGCAGACAGTTCACACTCCTCCCTCTGGGCAGCACGTCACAGCGAGACACTGGACGTACACAAACGGAAGGAGATCAGACTCATTCATGTACTTTCAGAATGCTTGGAAATGTATCCCCCCCCCCACCCCCCCACCCCAAACAAAATGAGTTTCAGAGTTTCCACATCTGAATGTCACACCTCAAGATAATTCACTGGATGAATTGCTTGAGGTTATAGTGGTTGTGGCATAACTCACGTATCTCCAGTAGGACGCGGTAGTCAAATTTCTGCAGGGTACCCTGTATGGCCAGGCATCCTGTGTTGGGGTTGAGTTCGGCCCCAGAGGAGAACTGAGAGTGGACCTTCTTACAGATCTGGATCAACAGAACCGCAGCTGCCCCCTAGAGAAAGAGAGAGGTCATATGTCAACTTCATCATCGCAAGGGAAATATATGTTTGCAAATTTGGGAACATTTGTCTGTAGTCTACATTTAGGTGGAAGAGTGATGTTTTATTGTGCATGTTTGGTAATGTGTTTGTGATTGCGTGTTGGTTCGTGGCCAGGTCATACCCAGCCCACAGCATCCAGAGCAGTGTAGCGCGGGAGCCCAGAGTAGCAGAACTGAGAGGTCCTCTTCTTCCATCTCTTGTCTCCATCCTCCCCTTTCTGAGAGCTGAGAGAGGGAACGAAAAAGTGGAAAGAGTGAGAGAAAGAAATGAAAGAGTGGGTGATACGAATAACATTTGTATAAACTTGTAGAGTTATATTGCGCCGTCACAGCAGGAGCCTTAACGAGACATGAGAGAAGGTGTTTGTCCCCGTTTCCCCCAACAGCACTCTACATGAGCAGAGACAGTCCAGGGCAACAGGATGATGCAACCAGCTGCAAGGCAAGCGTGGCCAGCCCTCGCAGGAGGGGGGGGGCACTATGGGGTTTGGAGCAGAAGGGAGGAAAATGAAGGGATGAGGTACCTGCTGTCGGGGGAGTGACGGCCGAGGAAAGTGGAGGTGTTGATGACCTCATCCTCCACGTGATGATTCTGAGACAGGCGCAGGGGGGCATTGCCATGGCACCGGCTAAAAACTGGGGGCAGAGGAGCAAGATGGGTTGTATTGAGTTAGCCCGGAAGACACTGCTGATACCATCTGCATTTCTGCTGCACATTTAATAGTGGGTTAAAGTCACATGCACAGAGCACAAGCATTATCCTTTTTTAATATTTTATATGCATTTTAATAAAGGCAGTGTAGGTACTTGTGTATTCTGTGCAACACAAGTATTTCTAGTCATAAGGATGTTCAAACAAACCACAAAACACAAGGTGTCACTAAACAGGTTACAGCAGCGGTTGGTTAGTAAATGTTTTGTAAACGGACCCCCAACCGGCTGAGACCAAAACAGACTGGTTGATCATAGTTGGCACAGTGGAGGCTAGCTGACTGAACTCAACGATATAATTAATCTTCAGGCAGAAATTAGGATTTGACTCAGGAAAGTTTTCCCTCACGACCTCTATAAGCCAGAATGTTGAATAAAATGATATTTTAACGTACTTTACCGGTTGTCCACGTGGTTGGTCCTTTTGGCGGTAGGATTGCGAGACAATATAATATGCACAGGAAAGTATAATTACATCAACTTTTCAAAGCACTGGTAGTGCATTTGTGTTTTCTATCACCTGAAGCATGCGCAGAACCAAATAAATATGTGCATGAGCTCAGCAAGTATGCATGTATCTCGTGAATGTATTTCTATCTGGTGCGCTTGCTTAAGGTGATAGAAATATGAATACACTACCAGTGCTTTGAAAAGTTTATGCAATTATACACTGAACAAAAATGTAAAATTAAACATGTAAAGTGTAAATCTTTCCATAGGCACAAAAAGCTTATTTATCTCAAATGTGCACAAATTTGTTAACATCCCTGTTACTGAGCATTTCTCCTTTGCGAAGATAATCCATCCACCTGATAGGTCTGGCATATTAAAAAGCTGATTAAACAGCATGATCATTACACAGGTGCACCTTGTGATGGAGACAAAAAGCCACTCTAAAATGTGCAGTTTTGTCACACAACACAATTCCACAGATGTCTCAAGTTTTGAGGGAGTGTGCAATTGGCATGCTGACTGCAGGAATGTCCACCAGAGCTGTTGCCAGATAATTGAATGTTCATTTCTCTACCATAAGCCTCCTCCAACACCGTTTTAGAGAATTTGACCTGACTGCAGTTCTCCGTCGTAACAGACTTCAGTGGGCAAATGCTCACCTTTGATGGCAACTGGCACGCTGGAGAATTGTGCTCTTCACAGATGAATCCAAGTTTCAACTGTACCGGGCAGATGATGTGGGTGAGCGGTTTGCTGATGTCAATATTGTGAACAGAGTGCCCCATAGTTGCGGTGAGGTTATGGTATGGGCCGGCATAAGCTACGGACAACACAATTGCATTTTATCAATGGCAATTTGAATGCACAGAGATACCATGACGAGATCCTGAGGCCCATTGTCGTACCATTCATCCGCCGCCATTACCCCATGTTTCAGCATGATAATGCACAGCCCCATGTCGCAAGGATCTGTACACAATTCCTGGAAGCTGAAAATGTCTCAGTTCTTCCATGGCATGCATACTCACCAGACCTGTTACCCATTGAGCATGTTTGGGATGCTCTGGGTCGACGTGTACGACAGCGTGTTCCAGTTCCGGCAGATATCCAGCAACTTCGCAAAGCCATTGAAGAGTGGGACAACATTCCACAATCAACAGCCTGATCAACTCTATGCGAAGATGTGTCATGCTGCATGAGGCAAATTGTGGTCACACCAGATACCGACTCGTTTTCTGATCCACGCATCTACCTTTTTTAAAAAGGTGCACTACATGACCAAAAGTATGTGAACACCTGCTCGTCAAACATCTCATTCCAAAATCATGGCCATTAACATGGAGTTGGTCCCCCCCTTTGCTGCTATAACAGCCTCCACTCTTCTGGGAAGGCTTTCCACTAGCGGTAGGTAGCTTAGTGGTTAAGAGCGTTGTGCCAGTAACCGAAAGGTCGCTGGTTCTAATCCCCGAGCCGACTAGGTGAAAAATCTGTCGATGTGCCCTTGAGCAAGGCACTTAACCCTAATTGCTCCTGTAAGTCGCTCTGGATAAGAGCGTCTGCTAAATGACTAAAATGTAAAAAATGTTGGAACACTGCTGTGAGGACTTCCTTCCATTCAGCCACAAGAGCATTAGTGAGGTCGGGCACTGATGTTGGGCGATTAGGCCTGGCTCACTGTTGGCGTTCCAATTCATCCCAAAGGTGTTCGATGGGGTTGAGGTCAGGGCTCTGTGCAAGCCAGTCACGTTCTTTCACACCGATCTCAACAAACCATTTCTGTATGGACCTCGCTTTTTGCACGAGGTATTGTCATGCTGAAACAGGAAAGGGCCTTCCCCAAACTGTTGCCACAAAGTTGGAAGCACAGAATCGTCTGGAATGTCATTGTAAGTCGCTTTGGATAAAAGCGTCTGCTAAATGGCATATTATATTATTATTATTATTATTATTATTATTATTATATGCTGTAGCGTTAAGATTTCACTTCACTGGAACTAAGGGGCCTAGCCCGAACCCTGAAAAATAGCCCCTGACCATTATTCCTCCTCCAAACTTTACAGTTTACATTTTGCATTGGGGTAGGTAGCGTTCTCCTGGCATCCGACAAACCCAGATTCATCCATCGGACTGCCAGATGGTGAAGCGTGATTCATCACTCCAGAGAACGCGTTTCCACTGCTCCAGAGTCCAATAGCGGCGAGCTTTACACCACTACATCCGATGCTTGGCATTGCGCATGGTGATCTTAGGCTTGCGTGTGGCTGCTCGGCCTTGGAAACCCATTTCATGAAGCAGCTGACAAACAGTTATTGTGCTGACGTTGCTTCCAGAGGCAGTTTGGAACTCGGTAGTGAGTGTTGCAACCGAGGACAGACCATTTGTACGTGCTACGCGCTTCAGCGGTCCCGTTCTGTGAGCTTGTGTGGCCTACCACTTCACGGCTGAGCCGTTGTTGCTCCTAGATGTTTCCACTTCACAATAACAGCACTTACAGTTGACCGGGGAAGCTCTAGCAGGGCAGAAACTTGACAAACTGACTTGTTGGAAAGGTGGCATCCTATGACGGTGCCACGTTGAAAGTCACTGAGCTCTTCAGTAAGGCCTTCTACTGCCAATGTTTGTCTATGGAGATTGCATGGCTGTGTGCTCGATTTTATACACCTGTCAGCAACGGCTGTGGCTGAAATAGCCGAATCCACTAATTTGAAGGGGTGTCCACATACTTTTGTATATATTGTGTGTCATTCCCAGTCATGTGAAATCAATAGATTTGGGCCTAATGAATTTATTTCAATTGACAGATTTCCTTATATTAACTGTAAAATCTTTGAAATTGTTTCATGTAGTGTTTATCTTTTTGTTCAGTGTACTTTTCTGTGGGTATATTGTCTCGCATTCTTACCGCCAAAAGGACCTACCGCACTGACAAGCGGTAAAAGACCAACCGCAACGGTAAAGTATGTTAACATATAATTTCATTCAACATTCTGGTTTGTAGAGATCGTGAGAGAACATTACTTATTCAAACGCTAATTTCTGGCCGACGTAGAATTCTATGCAATTCTACGTCGGGTTTCCAGGCAACGATTGGAGTTGAGTTTAATCGGCTAGGTGGCAACAGTGTCAATTAAGGTACCCATATAAACCACGATATGTGGAGCAGAAAGTAGTACCTACATGCTGGTTTACGCATACACTGAGCATGATGTGCCCTAGTTTTAAAAACAGACTTCTTGCATAGTGCATTCTAGAACTTTAGAGAACTTACGAGCTAGCAAGCCTGTCAATGATTTTAGCTCGTGCGCATAACACTGTACTGTCATGCCAAATCAAATATTAGCTAGCTGGATAGCTAATTGATTTCCAAATCTAGATAAAACAATACTACACTTTTATAGAAAAATCTAGCAAACTTCGACCTGAGTGCATAAACAAGGCTGGCTAGCTAACGTTAATGGAGGAAATTGTTAATGATATTTCGTTCACCTCTTCCAACAAACCCTTGTACTCTCCACATGTTTCGTTGTCCTAGAGCGAGTCTCAATATGAAAATGTCTCCATAATTGCGCTAAATTAGTCTCTTAAAAAAAATATATTCGGGGGAGTTCTCTCTCTCCATGAGTACAGTAGCTCTAGCTAGCTAGATATAAAAATTAAGCATTGAACGGTCACGAGTTATTTTGGAAGGAGGTGGACAACGTCACCCGGAAATAGCAAAACGTGAAGTGACGCAAGAAGATCGTTTGCGGTTACACATTGCCATCTAGCGGCTGTCATGGTTAGAACAAATCAAATCAAATGTTATTTGTCACACGCGCCGAATACGACAGGTGTAGACCTTACCATGAAATGCTTACTTACAAGCCCTTAACCAACAATGCAGTTTTAAGAAAAATAAGAGTTAAGAAAATAATTACAAAATAAACTAAAGTAAAAAAAATAAAGAGCAACAGTAAAATAACAACAACAAATCAAATCTAATGGTATTGGTCACATACACATATTTAGCAGATGTTATTTTGGGTGTAGCGAAATGCTTGTGTTCCTAGCTCCAACAGTGCAGTAGTATCTAACAATTCACAACAATACACACAAATCCAAAAGTAAAATAATGCAATTAAGAAATATATAAATATTAGGACGAGCAATGTCGGAGTGGCATTGACTAAAATACTGTAGAATAGAATAGAGTATATACATATGAGATGAGTAAAGCAGTGTGTAAACATTATTAAAGTGACTAGTGTTCCATTATTAAAGTGGCCACTGATTCCATGTCTATGTATATAGGGCAGCAGCCTCTAAGGTGCAGGGTTGAGTAACCGGGTGGTAGCCGGCTAGTGATGGCTATTTAACAGTCTGATGGCCTTGAGATAAAAGCTGTTTTTCAGTCTCTCGGTCCCAGCTTTGATGCACCTGTAGTGACCTCGCCTTCTGGATGATAGTGGGGTGAACAGACTGTGGCTCGTGTGGTTGATGTCCTTGATGAGCTTTTTGGCCTTCCCTGTGACATCGGGTGCTGTAGGTGTCCTGGAGGGCAAGCAGTGTGCCCCCGGAGATGCGTTGGGCAGACCACACCACCCTCTGTAGAGCCCTGCGGTTGCGGGCGGTGCAGTTGCCATACCAGGCGGTGATACAGCCCGACAGGATGCTCTCAATTGTGCATCTGTAAAAGTTTGTGAGGGTCTTAGGGGCCAAGCCAAATTTCTTCAGCATCCTGAGGTTGAAGAGGCGCTGTTGCACCTTCTTCACACTGTCTGTGTAGGTGGACCATTTCAGATAGTCAGTGATGTGTACTCCGAGGAACTTGAAGCTTTCAACCTTCTCCACTGCGGTCCAGTCGATGTGGATAGGGGCGTGCGCCCTCTGCTGTTTCCTGAAGTCCACAATCAGCTCCTTCGTTTTGTTGACGTTGAGGGAGAGGTTATTTTCCTGGCACCACTCCGCCAGGGCCCTCACCTCCTCCATGTAGGCTGTCTCATCATTGTTGGTAATCAGGCCTACTACTGTTGTGTCATCTGTAAACTTGATGATTGAGTTGGAGGCGTGCGTGGCCACGCAGTCATGGGTGACAGGGAGTACAGGAGTGGGCTGAGCACGCTCCCTTGTGTTGAGGATCAGCGAACTGGAGGTGTTGTTTCCTAACTTCACCACCTGGGGGCGGCCCGTCAGGAAGTTCAGGACCCAGTTGCACAGGGCGGGGTTCAGACCCAGGGTCCCGAGCTTAATGATGAGCTTGGAGGGTACTATGGTGTTGAAGGCTGAGCTATAGTCAATGAACAGCATTCTTACGTAGGTATTCCTCTTGTCCAGATGGGATAGGGCAGTGTGCAGTGCGATGGCGATTGCATCGTCTGTGGATCTATTGGGGCGGTAAGCAAATTGAAGTGGGTCTTGGGTGTCAGGTAAGGTAGAGGTGATACGTTCCTTAACTAGCCTTTCAAAGCACTTAATGATGACAGAAGTGAGTGCTACGGGGCAATATTCATTTAGTTCAGTTACCTTTGCTTTCTTGGGTACAGGAACAATGGTGGACATCTTGAAGCAAATGGGGACAGCAGACTGGGATAGGGTGAGATTGAATATGTCCGTAAACACTCCAGCCAGCTGACGCGGCTAGGGATACCATCTGGGCCGACAGTCTTAACACGCTTAAATGTCCTACTCACGTCGGCCATGTAGAACAAGAGCCCACAGTCCTTCGGAAGCGGGCCGCATCGGTGGCACTGTGTTATCCTCAAAGCGGGAGAAGAAGGTGTTTGATTGCCTTAAGGAAGGAATATCTACACTGCTTCTATTCAACCATGTTCCCAGTCACCTTGCCATGGTTAAATGCAGTGGTTCGCGCTTTCAGTTTTGTGCGAATGCTGCCATCTATCCACGGTTTCTGGTTTGGGTAGGTTTTAATAGTCACAGTGGGAACAACATCCCCTATACACTTCCTGATGAACTCAGTCACCGTGTCCGTGTGTACAGTGCATTCGGAAAGTATTCAGACCTCTTGACTTTTTCCACATTTTGTTACGTTACAGTCTTATTCTAAAATGGATTAAATTGTTTTAAATTCCCCTCATCAATCTACACACAATACCCCATAATGACAAAGCAAAAACTGGTTTTTAGATTGTTTTGCACATTTATAAAATAAAAAAAACGGAAACCTTTGGTAGCGATTACAGCCTCAAGTCTTCTTGGGTATGACGCTACAAGCTTGGCACACCTGTATTTGGGGAGTTTCTCCCATTCTTCTCTGCAGATCCTCTCAAGCTCTGTCAGGTTGGATGGGGAGTGTCGCTGCACAGCTATTTTCAGGTCTCTCCAGAGATGTTTGATCGGGTTCCAGTCCAGGCTCTGGCTGGGCCACTCAACGACATTCAGAGATTTGTCCCGAAGCCACTCCTGCGTTGTCTTGGCTGTGTGCTTAGAGTCATTGTCCTGTTGGAAGGTGAACCTTCGCCCCAGTCTGTCCTGAACGCTCTTTTGCTCCGTTCATCTTTCCCTCGATCCTGACTAGTCTTCCAGTCCCTGCCACTGAAAAACATACCCACAGCATGATGCTGCCACCACCATGCTTCACCGTAGGGATGGTGCCAGGTTTCCTCCAGACGTGACGCTTGGCATTCAGGCCAAAGAGTTCAATCTTGGTTTCATCAGAACACGGAATTTTGTTACTCATGGTCTGAGAGTCCTTTAGATGCCTTTTGGCAAACTCCAAGCGGGCTGTGGTGCATTTTACTGAGGAGTGGCTTCCGTCTGGCCACTCTACCGTAAAGGCCTGATTGGTGGAGGGCTGCAGAGATGGTTGTCCTTCTGGAAGGTTCTCCCATCTCCACAGAGGAACTCTGGAGCTCTGTCAGAGTGACCATCGGGTTCTTGGTCAACTCCCTGACCAAGGCCCTTCTCCCCCGATTGCTCAGTTTGGATGGGCGGCCAGCTCTAGGAAGAGACTTGGCGGTTTCAAACTTCTTCCATTTAAGAATGATGGAGGCCACTGTGTTCTTGGGGACCTTCAATGCTACAGTAATGTTTTGGTACTCTTCCCCAGAACTGTGCCTTGACACAATCCTGTCTCGGAGCTCTACTGACAATTCCTTCGACCTCATGGCTTGGTTTTTGCCCTGACATGCACTGTCAACTGCGGGACCTTACCACAGGTTTTTACCACAGGTGGACTCCAATCAAGTTGTAGAAACAGCTCAAGGATGATAAATGGAAACAGGATGCACCTGAGCTCAAGGCATAGCAAAGGGTCTGAATACTTATGTAAATAAGGTATTTCTGTTTTTTTATTTGTAATACATTTGCAAAGAATTCTAAAAACCTTTTTCACTTTGTCATTATGGGGTATTGTGTGTAGATTGATGAAGGAAAAAAACTATTTAATCAATTTTAGAATGAGGCTGTAACTTAACAAAATGTGGAAAAAGTAAAGGGGTCTGAATACTTTCCGAATGCACTGTACATCAATTTTATTCTCAGTGGCTACCCGGAACATATCCCAGTCTGCGTGATTAAAACAATCTATATACAGAGGGTACAGGTACTAAGTCAATGTGCGGGGGTACAGATTAGTTGATGTAATTGAGGTAATATGTACATGTAGGTCGGGGTAAAGTGACTATGCATAGATAATAAACAGCGAGTAGCAGCAGCGAGTAGCAGCAGCGTCCAGGTAGCCATTTGATTAGCTGTTCAGCAGTCTTATGGCTTGGGGGTAGAAGCTGTTAATAAGCCTTTTGGACCTAGACTTGGCACTCCGGTACCGCTTGCCGTGCGGCAGCAGAGAGAACAGTCTATGACTAGGGTGGCTGGAGTCTTTGGCAATTTTTCGGGCCTTCCTTTGACACCGCCTGGTATTGATGTCCTGGATGGCAGGAAGCTTGGCCCCAGTGATGTACTGGGCCGTACGCACTACCCTCTGTAGCTCCTTGCGGTCGGAGGCCGAGCAGTTGCCATACCAGGTGGTGATGCAACCAGTCAGGATGCTCTCGATGGTGCAGCTGTAGAAATCTTTGAGGATCTGAGGACCCATGCCAAATCTTTTCAGTCTCCTGAGGGGGAATAGGCGTTGTCGTGCCCTCTTCACGACTGTCTTGGTGTGTTTGGAACATGATAGTTTGTTGGTGATGTGGACTCCAAGGAACTTGAAGCTCTCAACCTGCTCCACTACAGCCCCATCGATGAGAATGGGGTCGTGCTCGGCCCTCCTTTTCCTGTAGTCCACGATCATCTCCTTTGTCTTGATCACGTTGAGGGAGAGGTTGTTGTCCTGGCACCACACTGCCAGGTCTCTGACCTCCTCCCTATAGGCTGTCTCATCGTTGTGGGTGATCAGGCCTACCACCGTTGTGTCGTCTGCAAACTTAATGATGGTGTTGGAGTCACGTAGTCATGGGTGAACAGGGAGTACAGGAGGGGACTAAGCACGCACCCCTAAGAGGCCCCCGTGTTGAGGATCAGCATGGCAGATGTGTTGTTGCCTACCCTTACCACCTGGGGGCGGCCCGTCAGGAAGTCAAGGATCCAGTTGCAGAAGGAGGTATTTACATTTACATTTACATTTACGTCATTTAGCAGACGCTCTTATCCAGAGCGACTTACAAGTTGGTGCATTCACCCTATAGCCAGTGGGTTAACCACTTTACAATATAATATTTTTTTATTTTTTTTAAATTATTAAATATTTTTTTT